GGGGGGAGGGGGGAAGAAGGGGGGGCTGAGGGGGTCGGGAGGTGGGGAGCCGCGACACAGCGACCGCCGGCGGCGAAAGGCAAAGGAGGGGAGGGGAGGGGGGGACGTACGAGAATGTGGGCCTCTCCTCGTCCTCTGCATGTGCATCTGTCACTCTCAGGCTTGCGGTTTTCATGCCCTCCATGTCTACCTGGGACACGACTTGCGTGTGCGGCAGTGGCCGTAGCTGCGACGACATGGCGTTTGGGAGGGCAACGACGAGTGGCTGCAACTAGTGGCTGGCGGCTGGTGGCTGGCGGCTGGCGGCTGGCGGCTGGCGGCCCGGCGTAGTTGCCGAAAACGAACGGGAGCAGAACGGGGGGGTGGGGGGCACCAGAGCAGGGGCTGCAGTGTTGTGGTGAAGAGCGGCTGGTCGCAGTCGACCAAGTCCGCGGTGCCCCAGACTCATAGACCATGATGCATGGCCTTGTGCCACTCATCGTGCAATCACACCGATCACCCGGTCCGAATCCCCCCCACCCTCACCCACCCCACCCATTCTCGACACTCCACTGGCAAGAATAGCCAGCTGGGCTACTGGGCAGAAGCTCCAAGCTCACTCACACCCTTGCACTCGCCCTCCCACACCCCACCCGCGTCCCACACCCCTCACACACCTCACCCAACCCCTCACCCCACCGCCACACACACACACACACACACCACACACGCTACACGCCACACCCTCTATCCCGAGTGTGTGCCTGTGCTTGTGCCTGTGCCAGTGCCTGTGCCTGCGCCTGCGCCTGTGCCTGTGCCCGTGGCCACCTCATTCGCTGTGCTGAGGCCGTCCCTGCCCGGTTTCCTTCCACAGCCCACACACACCACACACACCACACACACACACCATCCTTCCTACGCACACACACGCACACACCCCCCCCCCCCCCCCCGTCCCTTGTCCACAACCTCACGCCCGCGCGCCCTCCCTCCTTCTCCTCCTCTCCCTCTCGCTGCTACATGGACGTCACCGCCAAGTATCCGCTCTCCGACTCGGACGATGGAGGGTCGTCGACTGGCGACGGAGGCGAGAGCTCGAGTGGCATTCAGGCCGAGCTGCTTGGCCACGACGTGCTTATTCCCGGCCACTTGCTGGCTGCAGTGACTGCTGCTGTGGCAGCCGATCATGACGCCTCGATGGTGGCTGGCCCGGACACTCTCGGCCTGACCAACGCGCTCGCCGCGGCGGAGTCGCGCATCGCAGAGCTGGAGGATGAACTTGTCCGTCTCCGCGAGGAGAACACTGTGCTTCGCGGCGCGCTAGTCCACTCACGCTCCAGCGCAGGTCGGAGCACAGCCGGTGCTGGCACTGGTGCCGGTGGATCGGCACCGCTAGAGGCGCTCGAGCGGCTGCGGCTTTCGGCTGGAAAGGCTGGCGGGGCCGGAGTGCCACCCGATGCGATGGGCGTGCCCGCGCAACCGCGAGCAATCTCGGAGCTTCTTCGAAACCGGTCGTCAGGACGCAAGTCTTCGTTTGAGCGGTTCATCGGGACGTCGGCACGGTCACTCGGGGCCTCGTTCCTCACCCGAGCGGTGGCAGAGGCTGCAGCCGCCAGTAGCGGCAAAGCCGACGCTGGGACGTTGCAGGTCCCAGCTCGGGCAAGCCCGCAGACGACGGTGGCGCTCAAGCGAGCGGCGGCGGGAAGTGGTCCGCCGCAGCGGTCGATGTCGCTCGCCCGGTCGCCTAACATGCCGACGCTCGCCAGCTCGGCCACTAGCCGGCGCAAGCTCACGCTCGACCTCAACGTTTACATGCCGCGATTCGACCGTGAGGGCTCGCTGCGAGCCCGTCGCAGCTCGCGGCGCGGCTCGGTGGTCTCGGTCACCTCGACCATGTCAGAAATCTCAATTTCGGAGCTGTCGGGCCCGTCGGCCGACTACGATCAAGAGACCTCGCTCGGTGGAGGCTCGTCATCGATGATGAACTCGGCCGACGCCACCAACGCGCCGACGCCGCTCGCGCTCCCCGTCTCGGAGCCAGGCTCGAACCACTCATCGCGCTCGCCGTCGGTCTCGTCAGTCGACGTGGATGAGGGCTTCTCGACTTCGTCGCCGAGGCCGATTTCACTCTTCTCGTCGTCGTCGAACTTGTCCATCAACCTCGCCCGCGCGCAGCTGACCGCGGCCGCGGCAGCTGCCGGCTCGGCAGCCGCGGCAAGCGTGGCGGCCGCGACCAAACCTGCGACAAGCGGTAAGCGTGGCAAGGCAGGCAAGTCGGGCAAGTCGAGCAAGCGCAGCTCGATGGTGGTTTCGGACGACGGCGACGATGGTGGCGGCTCCGACTCGGGCACACGGCTCATCACGCGCGACGGCGAGCGGGTGGCAGCGGTGCGAGTCGCCGGCGGCTCGATTGTTTTTGACGCGGCGACGCTCGACCAGCTCGTCTCGCACCTGGCGGATGAGTCGAACCCAGACACGCTCTACATCGAAGAGTTCCTTCTTGTCTACCGGTTGTTTATGGAGCCGATCGAGTTGATGCAGCTGCTCATCGCGCGGTTCAACATCCAGCTCCCGCCGGATCCGACCGACGACGACGTGGCGTACTTTGCCAAGTGGGCACGGCCGGTCCAGCTGCGGACAGTCTCGGTCATCGCCAAGTGGGTCGAGCGGTTCTGGGACGTCGACTTTGCCGTCTCTTCGGTCCTCCTCGATGGGCTGTATGACTTTCTCGACTTGCTACAGGGCCCGGACTTTGAGATGCTCCACAGGCACCTCTCGACCAAGATCCAGGCCAAGCTTGCGTCGCCAACGCCCGGGCCGGTCAACCCGCCAGGCGACCTCAGCCTTGCGGAGCTGCTCGGGCTGGACATCTCCGTCCTGGCGTCGGCCGGTTCGACGGCCATTGCCGCCGAGCTCACGCGGTGCGACACCGAGCTGCTCGCAGCGGTCCCGGCATCCGAGTTTATCATCCAGCTCCGCGGTGACCCGTCGCTTGCGCCAAACCTCTCGCAGTACATCACCCGGTTCAACAGGGTCTCGCGGTGGGTGGCGTCGATGATCCTGTACGAGACAGACGTCAAGCTGCGGCGTAACATGGTGGTCAAGTTTGTGCACGTGGTCAAGAAACTGTACGAGCTCTCCAACTTTAACTCGATGATGGCGGTCATCTCGGGCCTCAACATGATTTGCATCGAGCGGCTCGACAAGACGTGGGCCAAGGTACCGGCCCGCGAGCGCAAGGCCCTCAAGAAGATGGAGGCCCTGCTCTCGCCGGCCAAAAACTACGCAAAGTACCGCCGCAAGCTCGAGAGCCTCAAGCCGCCATACGTCGGCTTTGTCGGCCTCTATGTCAAGGACCTCTTTGTCCACCACGACTCGAACCCGTCGCGCGTCACCTCGCACCCGCACCTTGTCAACTATGCCAAGTTCCGCCAGATGTCCGCCAAGGTCGAGTCGATCCGCGAGGCCCAGCGCGCCGCCGCCTCTTACAAGCATCGCGAGCCCGAGCCGGAGCTCCTCGCCCTCGTTTCGGAGCTTCCGGCCATGGATGAGAACGGCCTCTACGAGCTCTCCATCATCGTCGAGGCCTCGGAGCGTCGCCGTCGCTCGACCCGAGTTGTCGAACTCGAGGCGGCGTCGCTAGGGCCATTACCAGAGAAATCGTGAGGCCAGGAGAGGATCTAAAGGCCTGACTGCTATGTGTGCCTGTCTCTCCGGCGTTTGGCGGCGGCGAGTGTCGGAGAGTGAGGGTGCGCTAGCGCTTGGTGCGGGCACCTCTCTGCACGTGAGACCATGAGTGCAGGCGGAGGTGGGAGAGAAGATGTATGTGGGCAGGTGGCTGAGGGGAGTGGTGGGGGGGGGGGTGGCGAATGGGGGTGGGGCGTGGGGGTGGGTGGGTGGGGCGTGGGGGTGGAGGGAGTTTGCAACTCACGTGCGCGGGTGGTGGTGGTGGGGGCTGGGCAGTACGAGTACGAGTACTATGACGAGGAGGAGGATGTACAGGCTGTAGTGGACAAAGGAGTTGGAGTTGGAGCCGCGGCTGAGCCTGGGGCTGGGGCTGGCGCCGGCGCTGGCGCTGGGGTTGGGTCCGGAGCTGAAACTCGTGAAGGGGGAGGCCTCTTCGGCGATGATGACGGGGATGATGGCGTTGACTTTGATTCGGACGAGCTGTTTGGAGGTGGAGACGAAGACTTTGTTGTCCATACCCTGCTAGAGCGGGAGTCAGTGCCGGCACCAGCGTCGGTCAAGATGGCGGCCAAGCCCGTCGGCATCAACGAGCCGGCCTGGGGCAAGGATGTGGCCAGTGGCGATCTGTTCGCCGCTGAAGCCGCGGCTGCTGGGGCCGATGATGATGAGCTGCTGTTTGCTGCACCGGTAGCCAGTGCGGCTCCAGCCCGGCTCTCGGTGACCAAGGCCGTGGTCATGGCGCACAAGCCCGACCCAGAGCCAGAGCCAGAGCCAAAGCCAGAACCGGCTGTCCAGGCTGTCGGCCAAAGTAGCAGAACCGTTTTTGATTGGGATGAAGGAGACGACGGTGCTGAGGAACTGGACCTTGGACCGAAGCCCGTGGTGGAGGCAGGTCCCGAGCCTGTGGTGGAGGCCGAGTCGACGGACGTCTCCCCATCGCCTGCGCCTGCTGTCGACGGGGCGGTGGAATCGCTTCCTCAGGATACCGACGACGGCAATCCAGGTGAGGCCGTGGCGACTGGATGGACATCGTCCGAATCCGAGTCCGACGACAATGACGACGCCAAGGCAGGCTTGAACGCCGATGTCGTTCCCCCACCGCCACCAGAGTTCTTTATGGATGGTCCAGACGACGATGCTGACGCGGTTATAGGTACGGGTGTGGTGTCCACTGATGGGCACGCGCCGCCGCCTGCTCCGCGTGGCGCTGTTTTTAACGTCGAGGACATTCGCGCGTGGGGCTCGCCAGATGCAGACGACGAAGAGCACCCGTTGTTTGCCGCCCGCAGTCAGGCCGAGCCTGCAGCGACGCCGGTCAAGGCGCAGCCCGAGTCCCTGCCAGCATCGGATCCGGCGCCAGCACCAGAACCAGAGCCAGCGCCGGAACCAGAGCCAGCGCCGGAACCAGAGCCAGCGCCGGAACCAGAACCGGAGCTGGAACCGATTGTGGAGCTCGACGACGCAGGTGCCGACGACCTACTGGACGACCTAGACGGAATGGACGACGTATTTTCTTTGGCGGGCAAGGGTGGCGGCGGGTCGTTGTTTGGAGCGCTCGGTGGTGGTGTCGAAGACGACGACCCTCTGTTCGCGGCCATGGAGTCGCTCAAAGAGCCTGCCGCCGACACATCTCACCCCCAGATGGTGGCGCGGACCCGGCGTGGAATGCCGCGCGGCGGTGGGGGCGGAAGTGGTGGAGGAGGTGACGATGTGCTGGGCAATCTTTTTGCACTCACCGACGAACCGGCTGCTGATGAACTGGGAGTCAAAGTCGCAAGCGCCACTGCTACGCCACCTGCTGCGCCGGTGAGCAAGACGACGGGTGTAATGCTCTCTGATGACGAGGCCGACGAGTGGGAAGCTGGCAATGGCGAACAAGCTGTCAAAGATGCTGGAGCAAGCGTCGGTGTGGCTGCGGCTGAGGCCGCAGCGCGTGAGGCCGCGGCGCGTGAGGCCGCGGCGGCACTGCCGCCGGTCAACCACGCCAAGGCGCCGATTGTGCCCGATCTGCCCGTGGTGGCGGTGGAACGTGACGATAGCCCGCCGCCATTGCCGCCGCCAGAGCTAGCGGCTGTCCTCCCGCAGCAGAACGAGCCGCCGCTGCCGCCGGGCGAGGAGCCGCCGCTGCCCAAGCTCCCGCTCATTGTGGACGAGTTCAAACTCTCGATGGAGCGCGGGCCGAACGAGCTCTCGCCACGCGGGCCGGGAGCCACGCGAATCCGCGAGCTCGAGGCGCTACTGCTGGACATGCAGGAGGCGCTGGTCAAGGCGGCCGACCGCATCTCGCAGCTGGAGGGCGAGAAGGAGTCGCTTATGGTCAAGCTGGTGCGGACACAGGCGCAGGTCATCGAAGGCGAGCCGCGCAAGTCCGGCGGCGTGCTGTCGGCCGACGAAGCTGCTGCTATCGTGGCAAGCGCTGCGTCCAAAGATATGGAAGCGCGCCAGACGTCGACGCAGTTGCGAGCGCAGATGAAGGCGCTCGAGGAGAACGAGGCAGGCCCCGCCAAGCGCGGCATGCTGATGGGCGGCCAGGATGGGCGCGACGCGCCGGGTGTACCGGTCGGCCTCGGAACCGACGAGGACATTGCGCGGATTGAGGCTGCGCTCGAGGAGAGACGGATGGCACGGGCTAAGCATGCCAAGCAGAGTCGCAAGGAGGAGCTGACCGAAGAGGAAGTCCGGATCCGGCGGTTGGAGGCCGAGCTCGAGCACCAGCAGTGGGAGCGTGTCGAGCGGGCCAAGCTCGCGCAAATGGGTCCGAGTCACGAGATGTACGGGCGGTTCAACTTTGTGTTCCACGGGCTCTCGCGGGCGCAGATCTCGCAAGTCCGCAAGCTCTTCACCTTTTTCGACCAGAATTCGTCGGGCACCATTCCATGGGCGCGGACGCTGGACATTATCGACAAGCTCGGCATTATGCTCGCGTCGGTCGACGTGGCGTTCTTCAAGAACCTCATCGGCGCGCCGGTCGAACCGGCGGCGGCAGCCAGGCACACGGCACAGATCTCGATGCCGGACTTTCTGAAGGCCATGGACGAGCTTCATGCGGCGCTTTTCGCAAAGGCCAAGGAGAACAAGGCGCTGGCCGAGGTGGAGGGCGACTTGCTCAAGGAGGAGCTGGAGGCCGAGAAAACCACTCGTGCACTGTACGCGGCCGCAGCCGGCGAGAGCGGTGGAGCGAGCATCACGCTACACCAGTTGAAGCGGACCATTGTCAAGCTTGGCATCGGGATGCGCAAGGGTGAGTTTGCGCGGCTGATGGAGCTGACCCGCGCCAACGCCGACGGCACGCTGGGCGAGGAGGCGCTTGTGGTTGGCTTCCGCAAGCTACTCAAGGAGCACCGCGCCAAGCAGCTCGTCGAACTGCTAGAGGACGAAGACGCGGCGGCGGCCGAGGTTCGCGAGACGCTCGAAAAGGCGATTTCAGCGCCGGTCGTCGTCCCGCTCGCCAGCGACAATGGCGCTGAGCCCAAAAGCACTCAACCAAGTGGTGCCGACGGAGAGGACCCAGCCGATGACGACGACCCCAACGCCGAGCTCTCGTACACCCACTCGGAGCACTCGGGGCTTGCCGAGGACGAGGCCGGCAAAAGTGACGCTAAGCGTGGGCGATGGCGGCGGAGACGGCGTGGGTCGTCATCGTCGGGCTCAGACACGTACACGTACTCGTACTCGAGCTACGGACCGCACTCGTCGGCGTCGAGTGACTCGAGCAACACAAGCGACTCGAGCGACTCGGGCAGTGGGTCGGCCAGCGGCGGTGGCGACGGAGGCGGATGGAAGGGCTCGGCAAAGCACGCAGCCAAAGACCCGCTTCAGCCGGGATGTGGGCCGACGGCGACGGGTCCGGACAACGCCGGGCAGTGCTATGTTGTCGGGTGCGAGTGCTCGGCATTTGTCAAGAAGAAGTTTGGGTTTGACAAGAGCCAGTGCTCCGAGTGCTTCCACGGATGCACCTCGCACGCGTCGACGGGTGCGGCGCCGGCTGGCAGTAGTGCCGGCAGCAGTGACAAGGGTAAGAGCAAGGGCAAGAGCGGCAGCGCCACGAGTGGGATGTCGAAGCGCGAGGCCTTCCTGGCCCGGCTGAACGCTGCCAAGAACGAAGCCGCTGCCGCCGAGGAAGCCAAGAAGAAGCCGGCCAAGAAACTCTCGGGCTGGGCGGAGCGGCAACGCGAGAAGGAGGCGGCGGCGGCGGGTGCCGGGAAGAGTGAGGCGAGTGCAGGCAAGAGCGCCGGGGAGAGACGGGGTGGAAAGAAGAAGCGCAAGGGCGAGCTTTCCGAGGCAGAGCTAGAGGCGATCGACGACGAGGAGAAGCGGGCGCTACTGGTGAAGACGAGCAAGCTCAAGAGCGCACTCAAGACTGTGAAGGACGAGTGCAAGCTCCGCAAGGCTATCATCGACAAGCAGGTGGGTGAGATGGCATTCCTGGCGGACGAGGTCTCGATGCTGGGCAAGGAGCTGGAGATCGAACGGCACTCGCGTGAGCGACTGGAGGCCAAGCTGGCCAAGGTGACGGCCAAGCTCGAGGGCTACGAGTTTTACCTGGCACAGGAGCAGGAGGCCAAGGAGCTGCGTGTGCGGCGACGGGCCAAGGCGGCCAAGGAGGCGCGAGCGGCGCGGCGGGAGGCCAAGAAGCGTATGTTCAGCAAGGGCATGGAGCTCAATCCATCGGGACTCGCTCTCGACCCAGTCGACGATCCTAGCCACACCGCAACCGGCGACGTGCTCGCGCCGGTGCGGGACAAGGTGGAGGCGGCCAAGGCTGATGGTGCGAGCGGCGACGATGGCGACGCATCGCCCGAGCTACCTGCTCTCCCGGGCTCGGCGTCTGACTCGTCGTCGCCGTCGTCGGTTGTGGCTGCGGCTGCAAGCTTGGTCAACTCATCGGTGTCCGAGAGTGAGACGCCAGCGTCGACGGCATCGTCGTCATCGTCGTCGTCATCGTCGTCGTCGCCATGTCATACTCGCGGTGGTGCGAGGCAGCGACAGCGGCGCATGCGCATGCGGTCGAAGAGGCCGCGGCGGCGGCAGCGGCAGCGGGTCCAGGCTGCAGAGACCGAGGTTGCGGGAGGCGGTGTGGTGTACGACGAGGCTGCGGCAGCAGAGGAGGCGCGGGCAGCCCGTGAGGCGCGGCGGGCGGCGCGGCTGCAGAAGCGCAAGGAGGCCAAGGCTGCGGCCAAGGCTGCAGCGCGAGAGACCGCACGCGCTGAGCGCAAGGCCAAGCGGCGGTTGGAAGGCAGCCATCGGCCGGGTCGTGGACGGCGCGGGTCGTCGCGGCGGTCAGAGGGTGGCAAAGCGAAGCGACGGCGCAAGGCTGCCGAGCCTCCACCGCCGCCGCCTGACGAGTTTGTTGGCGAAGAGCCGCCGCCGCCACCACCCGAACATGCGTAGCTTGATGAGCGAAAGGATACAGAGTTTAGCGAAGATGTGAGACACGGGAGCGAGACCGCGAACGCGAACGTGAGCGGCGCGAGTTGGCCGACTTTGAGCCCGACTTGGACTTTGAGCCCGACTTGGCCTTGGTCTTGGTCTTGGTCTTGGCCTTGGACTTGGCCTTGGCCTTGGACTTGGACTTGGCCTTGGCCTTGGACTTGGACTTGGAGTGGGTGCGTCGCTTAGCGACGACTGTGGCGACAGCACGGGTCTCATCGATGTTGTCGCGATTGAGGGCAAAGTACTCGTGGCGGAGGGCGCGCTTTGCAGTGGGTCGCTTTTCAGGGTCGGAGGCGAGCATGGAGCGAACGATGCGCCATGCCGGCGAGTTGTAGTCGTCAGGATCGGTGGCCTTCTTGGCATCAAGAGCCTGGCGGACCTTGGCATGGGAGCGGAAGCCGCGGCGGGAGGAGGGCGGGACGTGGAGGAGGAGCTCGAGCATGACGATGCCGGCCGAGTAGATGTCGACCTTTGTGGAGTAGCCGCGCTCTCGGCGTGAGGCAGAGGCAACCTCGGGTGCCATGTAGCCCGGAGTGCCGTAACACCTTGTGGGCCGGTCGTTGTCGTCGTAGGGGGCGGCGCAGTCATAGTCGACGAGCATGGCGCGGCGGCGGCGGCGATCAAAGAGGATGTTGTCGGGCTTGACGTCGCGGTAGATGACGCCGCGCTTGTGGACGTGGGCGAGCGAGCGAAGGATGTCATAGAGGTATGTGGCGACGAGGCCGTGCTCGGAGGAGAGGACCGAGGAGGCGTAGATAAAGGGCAGGACGATGGCGTAGCAGCCCGTAGCCGGGAGCGGGGCCCAGTCGAGGAGGTCGGGGATGCACGGGTGGCCTTGCAGGGTGAGCAGGTTTGCAACCTCCTTGGGCGGCTCGTCGTCGGTGTAGCGGTCGTCGTCGATGATCTTGACAACGAGGAGCTTGCCCGGGTTCTCGCGATGGAGGGCCTTGTACACCACCGTGTCCTCGCCCTGGTAGATACGATCACGGAAGACGTACTTGGCGTTGAGGGCAAGGAGGTTAGCCTCCTGCGGGAAGACGGCCTTGGTCAGATCCGAGTCCGAGTCGCCGGTCCACGAGGCGTACTCGTACTCGTACGAGCCGCCCGAGCCGCCCGAGCCAGACTCGGGCGCCAGGGCCTGGTACGGCACAAACGAGCCGTAGTACCGCGTCTCGCCCGAGCACGAGCAGTTTCCTGAGCTACCCGAGCCCCATGCCGAGGCCGAGTAAGCCGAGACTGGCGTCGACGAGTCGCTCGCGGCGGACGATGAGCCAGCAGAGCCGGCCTGCGCAAAGTCGACCCGCTTCCTCCGCCGCCTGGACCCGTTGGCGGCCGACGAGCGCCGGCGGCGCGGCTTGGCGCCTGCATGGGAAGCCGGCGACGACGACGCATTGCGTGACTTGAGCACGCGGGAGAAGAGGCCCATGAGTGTATTCCTTCCGTTGGGAAGGGGGAAGAGGGGGAAAGGGGGGAGGGAGGGAGGGAGGGAGGGAGGGAGGGGTGTGAGTGGGTGACAGGGGTGAGGGGGGTGAGGGGAGGTGGGAGGGTGGAGAGCGCCAAAGCCAAAAAAGTTGAATATTTTGTACGAGAGGATGGCAATGGCATGGCATGCGGTGGAGGGGGGGGGGGTAG